GAATATTATAATACTCAGTGACAATACAGTGGGTCCCCACTTACGACATTAATACCTTCCTGAAAATTATTCATAAGCCGGCTGTTCAGAACTCAAAAATTATTTTCTTGAAGAGGGGGAATAATATTAGAGCTCTAATTTTATTTTTTTTAACTACAAGTATTTACCTGATATTTTAAACTCAATACTGTTCCTTTTGGCTTGCAAATAAGACACACGTGCAATAACTAAGCCTCTTTATTATGAAAAAGTTGAATGGAAAAAGTCACAGGTTTGCAAAATGACTTCATATTAAGATACCCAGGTGTTGCAGATGTTTTATTTATCAACCTGCCAGTACCATGAGTGTAATGATACTTGTCTGACACAGCAACATAATGGAATCTTGGAAGAGAGGATATTTTTCACAACAATGCTGCTAGCTTCTGGCCAGATCTTGGGCATGACCTACTTCCACTAGTGGGTCCCACCCACCTCTGACAATGCCTTTCACTGCTGCACCTCTCTTCTGGCTCCAGTATGTTTATCCATCCACCTGATTCTGCTTCAGATTGATCAAGCTAAAGGAAATGAGCACCTTCATCTCCTCGTTTTCCTATTCTTTCCTACCCTTTCTTGCATCATATCGAACTGAAGACTCGACATGTGCTCACCACTCCCTCACTGTTATTGTGAGGGTTAATGTGCCTGGGAATATAGAGTGGGAAGGTAGTTTGTGTAAATGTGGGGGCCTAAGTTCCTGCCATCCTGTAACTCACCCACAGACATGTCCAGCATGCAAGCAGCAGCAGTGGTGGCTCCCTCAGAATGAAATTATTTAATCTACAGTCCCTAACTAATCTCTACCAAAAAAAACAAATACTAAACCCATAGATAAGAAGAACATACACAAAATACCTATGCATTTGGTATAAATGACCAAGGAAATTAAGGTTAAAATTTAGCCCTAAGAAAATCGTAAATATAGTTCTTCACCAATCTTTACCAAATAACCGAGAAATATTAATATTAATAAATATTTAATCTACAGTTCTTGATCAATCTCTACCAAACAAATGTGAATGCTCTATATGTTTTTTAATATGCTAGCTGCCTCCCATCAAGGCAGGGTGACTCGAAACACTTTCACCATCATTCACACTAACACTGTCATACCAGAGGCATACAGATATGACAGTTTAGACATCCCTTCAAACAGCAAATATCCCAAACTCCTCCTTTAGAGTGCAGGCATTGTACTTCTGCCTCCAGGACTCAAATCCTGCTAACCAGTTTCCCTGAATCTCTTCACAAAATATTACCCTGCTCACACTCCCACAGCATGTCAAGTCACAAAAACTATTTGTCTCCACTCCTATCTAACATACTCACACATGCCTGCTGTATGACCAAGCCCCTTGAACACAAAATCTCCTTTACCCCCCTCTCTCCTTCCTAGGATTACCCCTACCCCTTCTCCTCTTCACCAAAGATTTATACACCCTTCAAGTCATCCTACTTTGCTCCACCTCTCTAAATGACCAAACTACTTCAACAACCACTCCTCAGCCCTCTGAATAATACTTTTACGAATGCTACAAAATATACACACAAATGGTATGAATGCATTTATTAAAAAAACTAAAATTATTTGACTGAATATTTGCAACGATTGTTAAGTGCAAACCAACATTCAAAAAAATATTTAATTGGTTCCATGTATCAATATTGTAAGTGGTGAACATTATAAGTTGGGGCCTACTGAAATACTGAGTACTGTTGTTATAATATACTATATAGAAATATAAATATGTGAGGATATTAATACATTTATATATTAAATACTATACATTACAAAAATATGAACACCTATATAACACACTATAATATTAGTTAAAAGAGTTTGCCACTTTACAAGGGCAAATATGTAACAACAGTTGATAATAATATACAAGTAAACACTATTACAAACATGCCTTAACGTGGAATGATGACTAACTCTTAAGTCACAGATAACAACTGCAAAATGCTTAAGTTATTTAAGATAAACCCAGGGGTATTACCAATGGGTGGCACCCAGGGGTTATACCAATGGGTGGCACCCAGGGGTTATACCAAGGGGTGGCACCCGAAGTTGTATCAAGGGGTGGCATCCAGGGGTTGTATCAAAGAGTGGCACCCGTGGGTGACACTTGGGGGGTCAAGAGGGACCATCTGAAGCCTCCTCAAAAATTCATCAACACCCCAAAGTTCCCTAAATAATAATAATCATAATAAAAATTAATAATAATAATGGTGATTTAACGTAAGTCCCCTAGCCCCTTCTTCCAACCAGACAGCAACCCCTAAACCTCTCCCATATGTAACTAAACCTCTTGTTCAATAAGAGAGATACTCAAAATATTATCTAATAAACTCATAAGCGTACTTTCATTTAATTTTTCCATAACTTCAAGAACTATACAGTACAAAGTGGTGCTTTATTATTGTACAGTACTAGTGTGAAGAAATGAAACACTGTTGAACAAGCTTACTCTGCAATATCAATTTGTCCTGTGTTGATCTAGAATTGATCAAGCATGACTTGATAAAGATCAATATAGTAATAAAATGTAGCTCAGCAAATTGTCATTTCTTCTCTACTGTTGGCAGCTTCACATTTTGATCCAACAGTACTTGTGTGATGGAGGGAGTGGTGATGGAAGTGTTCTTTTTCGGGTCACCCTGTCTTGATGGGAGTCACCCAATGTATTCAAAGAATAAAAAGTGCTTGTGAAATATAAAACATTCATACAGTGTCGTGTATCCCTCGCTCCCTGTCTCGTAGGTGTGTATGGCACTGTGTGTATGGCATTGTGTGTATGACCCTCTTCCCTCTCACACATTTCAATTATCTTCAAGAAATAAGTACTTTTGATGGGAGTGCTGGAGAAGCTTAATCAATAATTTTCTGTGTTGGTATCTACCAAAAAATTAGCAACTCTCAGCTGCTTTCTCTAAAAAAAGCAACATGTAGCAATGATGAGAAGTGCCTAAAAGTAAATGAGTAAGTAGGAGAAGAAAAAGCATAAAGACATAAGTATAGGATGCAGGAATGGAAAAACTTGTCAGTACTAAAAGGACAATGTGGAGGGTGTAATAATCTAGCTGAGTATCAAGGGTGACTGTGGTAGCAGTACAATAAAAAATAGTCACAACACTGTGACTGGAACAATATACAAATAATCTGCACACAGGAGAAAGAAACTTAAGATGAAGTTTTGGTCTGTCTTGGACCATTAACTGACTAGCTAAAAGTCCAAGTCGGATCGAAACGTTGTCATAAGTTTCTCCTATGAGCGGATTATTTGTGTAGTAGTACGTACACTGATATAATGAAACAAACACTGAAAGTGTGTGTACCCACTTTACTCTTATTGTACCTCTTTGGATAACCATGACTCAAAACATTATGATGTTAAGAAAATTACTGAGTAAAGTCAGTTTTGCAGATTTGCGATAAAAACTGATTAAACTTCATTTAGCAAAATACTTTAAAAACTCAGAAATTTGACTAAACTGAGTAAATAAAAAACATTTGCTATTGAAATTTGTTCATCCTTGCTATTGTACACTGTGATTATTTCTTGTACTTATCAAATAGTTGGTTATGTTTAAAGCTATACAATACTTTGCTTAAATTATTAATATACACGCAGAGTATTCAAACGTTACACCAAATATAAAATGGCCTTCACAATAACATTGATGTACTGCTGAAAAAACAAAGAGGAATGCAGGACCACAGTAATCACTTCCTACTGAAATTAGTCAATGCATTACTTTTTGTTTTCTTGATTTTTTAGGCTATGTTAATTGTTTAAATATATATATACACATATATTTAAATATTTTTTTAAACACATCGGTCGTATCCCACATATATATCCCATACATATATATATGCTTCCATACACACATACACATATACCTTACAAATATAAAAACCAACTACATTAATGCTATATAAGTGAAAGCTAACATTACCAATACATAATTTCTATATTTCTCATATCCACCTTACATTTCCTGAACATTTTTATAATAGCATTTTCTGAAACATCTCAAAATGCGTAAACTAGAGGACTACCGTAAAGGGTTTCTGAGCAAAATGCATTTGCATAAACACAAGACACATGCATGACATGCAATACATGCCCTTGCATTAAAAATTACAATCAAAGAACATTGTGAGATTTGCAAAGCAACAAAAGCTAGGAGACAGTGGAAGGAATTATTTACCTGCTACACTCTTCCATCATGATGGTGGCCAGGGTATGAGAGGTAATAGAGGAGAAGGAAAATAATACTAAGGCAATAAAGACATGAGATGGAGACAAAAAGAACGGTTATCATCATAAAAAGAAAAGGAAAATGCTGAACTCAAAATCAAATCAAAAAGATTCTTTAGAAGCTGATTGGATGGTGTGAGGTATGATCCTACGTATGTCTTGAAAAGAAAAAATAATAAAATCTATGAGTTTCTCTGTAAGTGCATAATAGGCAATTAGTGTGATGCAAAGATTTCCACTTGAGCTAATAATAACCAATTGAATAATCACATAAAACAAACATCCAGCATTAGATTTAATATAGTTACAGATTGAACAAAATAGATACTGCAGAGCTATAATATAGAGCTATAATGCGATGCCATAACAAAACTCTTACTGCACAAGGTTACCATACATTCTTGTGCATAGCTTCTTCATTAAATTTACTTAAGCAAATCAAATATGGCTTTACTTTTCACTTCACTAGTGAGTAACTATCATAGGTATGATTGCTACATGCCTGTTTGAAGCCAAACAACAATACAAAAGAAAAATTGTGAAATTTTATACAAATATTTAGAAGTTTGCTATTGGATGCTTTCATCATTCAAACAGAAATGCAGTTATTTAATTAGTAAATATATCAGTGCATAATAAACAAATTCAATTCACTCTATATGTACTAATTAAGTAGAGAAGTGTGCTTACCTTGTAATTCACTTTGAAGTTTCTCTATAGTTTTTCGTAACCTATCGATTTCTTGATTAGCCTGATCTAAGTTGTCAAGGCGCTCCTTTTGAGCCTTGGAATACATATCATGGGAACTAGAGCCTATATCTGGCCCTTCCTTCAAGGTTACATCTCTGTAGAGAAAAAATATTATACGTAAATCAGAATCATCTGCAGTCTTGCAACTAGTATACAATTTTTGTTTTAACATGCTGGCCGTCTCCCACCAAGGCAGGGTGACCCTAAAAAGAAACACTTTCACCATCATTCATACTCATTGTCTTGACAGTGTTAGTGTGAATGATGGTGTCATATCTTGCGCACAGATACAACAGTTCAGATGTCCCTCCAAGCAACAAATATCCCAAACCCCTCCTTTAGAGTGAAGGTACTGTACTTTCCATCTCCAGGACTCAAGTCCGACTAATTGGTTTCCCTGAATCCCTTCACGTACCGACTATAAATTCCAATTCCAAAGTGTTTCTTCTTTCAACACACCAGCCGTATCCCACCAAGGCAGGGTGGCCCAAAAAGAAAAACGAAAGTTTCTCTTTTAAATTTAGTAATTTATACGGGAGAAGG